TGTGTGTGTGTGTGTGTGTGTGTGTGTGTGTGTGTGTGTGTGTAGTATCTAACATTCCTCTGTATGTCTGTAACAAAGTGTGTTTATAAAATTACTTATTAAGGGACAACTTGCCTGTTTCCACTTTTTGATGATCGTGAACAAAAGTGCCTTAGACATTCCTGTGTGGGTTTTTGTGTAGAATAAGCTTTCAACTTCATTGGGTAAATAGCTAGGAGTATGATTATTGCATCATATATAAAACTTTGTTTAGCTTTGTAAGAAACTGCCAGAATGTGTTTTGCAGTAATTGTTCCATTTCCTTCCCCCTCATCAATGAGCAAAAGTTCCTATTGTTCTGCATCTTTGTCAGCATTTGATTTTGTCAGTTTTTGGAGTTTATCTATATCATTAGGAACATAATAATATCTTATTGTTGTTTTTATTTACAATTCCCTAATATGAGGGAGCATCTTGACATATGAGGCCAAGCATCTTTTCATATGCTTACTGGTCATATCTGTATCTTCGCCAAAGAAGATAAAGATTTTTTTTTTTTTTTGATCAGGGCTTGAATAAAGGAACACTTATCCACCCAGCCACATCCTCAGCCCTTTTTTGTGTTATATTTAGAGATAGGGTCTCACTGAGTTGCTTAGTGTCTTGCTAAGTTGCTGAGGCTGGCTTTGAACTTGTGATCCTGCCTCAGCCTCCCAAGCTGCTGGGATTATGAAATACCTAGAAAAGAGGACATTGAGTGTTTGACCACAAAGAAATGATGAATTTGATGGACATTATAATTACCATATTTATTTCACAGGACCTTTTGTCTATATCCTAATTGTGATGTTTGTTTTGTTACTGAGTGGTAACTTTATTTTTATATTTTGAATACTAGTTCTTTATTATATATGTGGTTATGTGGTTTACAAATATGTTCTGTGTTTTTGATTCTGTGACTTTTTGCTGTCTTGGCAGTTTTTATCTTCTAAAATGTCATATCATTGGAATCCTACAGTGTCTTTCACAGGAAAGTTTGTGTTTTTAATACAGTCCAACTTACTCTTTTTGGAACTTTTTTTTTTTTTTTTTTTTTTGTGTGTGTGTGTGTGTGTGTATGTGTGTTGTATCTAAAAACTCATCACCAAATCCAAGATCCCCTAGATTTTCTTCTATGCTGTCTTCAACAAAATCCATAACTTTTGTTTACCTTTCAGTCTGTCATTCTTTTTGAGTTAATTTTTGAATAGAGTAAGATCTACCTCCAGGTTGGATGTCTTAAATGTGGATATCAAATAGTCCCAGCTCTATTTATAGACAGACTACCCTTTTTACATTTTTCACCTTTGGTCCTTTGTCACAAGTCAGGTAAGTATATAGTGTGGGTCTTTTTTCTGTACTTTCTATTCTGTTTCATTGATCTATGATTTCCATTTTAATTAATCTGTGGACTAAAAATGTACTTTGTATAATTTCTAGTCCTAAATTGTTAAGTGTATTTTATCACCAAGTATGCAGGGTATCTTGGTGAGTGTGTTATGTGAACTTAAGAAGAACATGTATTTTTGCTGTTGTAGGATGAAGTGTTTTATAAATGTCAGTTGCATCAAGTTGATTGATGACTATCTCCTCACACATTTTTTCCCTTGCTCTATGATCATTTACTGATAGAGGAGCATTGATGTCTCCAATAATAATATTGGGTTTATCTATTAATCTTGTAGTTTATCAGTTGGGGCCTCATATGCTGTTTTGTGAGGTATGTATACATTATGGATGGTTATGCCTTAGGTAATTGACCTTTTTATTATCTCTAATAATTTTCTTTTGTCTGATTCATATAGCTGCTCAGCTTTTTAGAAAATTAGTGTTAGTATGTATATATTGTTCTTTATCTCTTTACTTTTAAAATTATCTTTATATCTTTAAAATTATCTTTATATTTAAAGAGAGTTTCTTGTGAACCCATTTAAATATATATTTATTACCTTATTACCTTCTGAAAATCTCCTGTAAGTGACATATTAAGACCATTCACACTTAAAGTG